TCAACCTTCAAGATTTTTTCCTTATGTATGAATTCATCCGTGCTCTCAGGGCATGCACTAGAGGGATCCTCCTGCGATAGACCCCATGCGATCCGGTTTATATGATGACTAGGATACAATCTTTGAAAGAAAACATTACAAACCTCATCCACTTCTTCTGCTTCAGAAGATTTCAACCACCAATTCCTTGTTTCTAAAACCTGGAAAACAATGTGATCTACTTCTTGCCTTAGTTTCACCGGTCTAAAACCGTTTCTCACTTTCGAAACTTCAGGCTTAGCAAGAATAGGGATTTTATGACCTCCTAGGATAATGTGGTCGTTATCCTGAGTAAATGGTCTAACCTCTGCCTGACCTCGCAGAAAACTATTTCTGAGAATAAAATCTACCTCTAAGTAATCCACTACTAGGACTTCCCTTAGAATGAATTTTTTCTCGTTCAACAGTATCACCACGTTCTCAACCACATCCGTGATCATACTTTGACCTCCATCCGCAACCGTATTTAGGATTGGCCTTTCCAATGATTTCCAAAGTTCTTGTGGAAAACATTGCTTCCTTGCAATACATTTGGTTGCTCCTATGTCTACAAGAATATCCAGAGTATATTCCTCATATTCTGGGAAACACAGTTTTGCACGTATGCATGTGTCAATAGTCCCTTGCACTATTGCATAACAATGCATTTCATGACTCATCATCATTCTTGTGCTTGGAGTATCTTCTTCATATACTAGAATTTGCACAGATTTATACCCAATAATTTTCCTGCTTCCACTACTTGTGTCACTAGCAGTGTCATCTGTGTCCAGTATATCTTTCCTTGATATAGTAGGCTGAACCTCTTTATTCTGCTCTAGAGACATCGAGTTTCTAGGCATAGGAAGAGTAACCTCAACCTCATTATCAAGTTCTTGGATCTGAATTCCTCGATTGGGATTTAATTCCACCACGTTGGGCTGCGTTGAATATTCCAAAACCCATCATTTCGGCCACGTAAGAGTCTTAGTATTGACTACCGTAGGTCGAATCAGAATTACAGAATCCTGTCCTGGGCCATGAACCTCAGTATTTGCACCGGAGTTCATTTGTATAGGATTAACCGAATTTATCAACCGATAAATCAACCTATACTGTATGACTATTCCATCACTAGAAGACAACAAGTCCTCTAATCCTGAAGTATGAATTCGAAGAACCATAATCCGTTTAAGATTAGGATCCGTGAGACTAACCATATATCCTAGTTTAACAGTCCCATAGGCATCCCCCAAAGCCAAATTAGCGTGAAATCCGCCAACTAAAGCTTTGCTAAACGTAAGCCATCGTCTGTCCAGTAAAGCAACCTGAACAGGTACATTCATTCCTCCACGAAATAGTCCTTGTACACGAATTTGTACAACACCAAGTTGTACATAATTATACTTGCCATTTGCCCGTTTGGCAAGATTTCGAACCTTGCGTAGCCACTCATCGTCTGAGAGTATCAATTCACCCTCTCTAGACTGAGATAGCGCTACACGAATAGGTTTCTCGTGTACATCTTTCAAGCCTTCCGCTTTAAATAACCACTTAGAGCGTTTTGCAAAAACCTCTCTAGTTGTTAACCTCGGAATTACCCATGCCTCCGGGTTACCCGAGTGATCCTCGTAACTAGATGATGAACTAATTACCGAGTTAGGGTTTTCATCTTCATTTCTTATTGGGATAAGATCATCCTCATTCCCAACTCCGCTATTGCTAGGATATTCATTAAGACTGCTAGTCCTTTGCATGAATATACCTATGCGTTGAAGATTTGAAGATTGTTCCTCAAATGACAAGTGATTCAAGTCATCCTCTGAAGTGTTTGAGTCCTCAAAGTAGTCCAAAATTAATTCATAAACCTCATCATCAGAATCAATTTCGTATCCCCAAACTGGCTCAAATTCAGAAGTTCGGTTTTCCGCGTTGATTTCCAAAAATCTTACCGCTGCCTTCTTCTTTCTCTTGTGAGGGCATTTGTCTGCAAAATGATTTTTGTCACCACATATCTAGCAACAATTACAATCCTTTGCGTTTTTGCCAGATGGGCAGGTAGCGTAAAATTTACGTGCTCCATGTTCTTTTGCATTTAATCTACCTTTCCCTGTTCGCCTAATAAACCTTCCATGATCCGGAAGATTCCGTTTATTAGTAACAGGTTGTTTTACCATATTATGAAAACGTTTTGGTTTGAAATTCCTCCTACCAAACGATCCTTTTCGCTTCATATGGGTTTTCCAACCTTGATGTTTAGTCGAACTCCTAGACTCACAGCCATATTGTCCTGGCACTCCATCAAAGTTTTGACAACAAGATTCGTTGAATTCAAGCCTTTTAGCTTCCTTATTCAGCTTGACATTCAAACATCTTGTTCTCACGAGTTGTCTAACAGCTTCTATGCGTCCTCCTAAAGAATCAACAACCTGACTCTTTTCGAGTAGAAGCTTAAACGCCTCGTTTGCTGCCTTGTCCCATCCTTGGAGAAGCTTAGCAAAGAAAATATTCTTCATGACTTCCTGTGTGCCACCAGGCAACTGATAAAAATATCGCCTATATTCACAGACGAAATTTTCAAACAGACACATGTCACAAAGCCTAAGCTTTGTTAAAGCTTCTAAGGCAACTACCTCTGCGAGATTCCTATTAGTAATTGTTATACCAGTAAATTCTCTACAGAACATATCCTTGAAGAGTGCAAAGATAGCCTCTCTGTTCTTCAAGTCCCTTACAGTATCTAACAGACTCGTACCAGCTTCTAGACTTCTCCAAAAGCTTCTTACAGCACCCTGCAGTGTGGATCTTAGAAATCTGTAAGTATCACTAAGTTCAAAGTTCTTATTCTGCACATAAACCCAGTTAACAGTTTCTCAAGCTTCGATTGCATCCGTTACATTTGTAACACAATCGATATTTAGGAAACTTCCGCTTGACGGTATCTCCACTATTCTAGGTATTCCCCTAGGTACAAATTCTGACCTTACCTTTGTGGGATAAGTAGGTTTGTATTCGGGTTTGGAGATTTCCTTAAGGAATCCTTCGAATGAATTTAAAGGATTACGAATTCCTTCAAGGGGATCATCTTCAAACTCAGATTCCCTGAGTCTCGAGATTAGCTCATCGAGCTCCGCCTTTTTAGGACCTGGACTTGGATTTTTTTTAAATCCTCCAGTTTTGTTTCGTTTCCTTTGTTTCTTCATTTTTTCCTCATAATACCTGCTGATTCGCTCAGCATCTGGGGTAGAAATTCTGGAATATCAACCTTTCGTTTTCCATCCGTTTTAGAAACAAAGTCTTCTTCCTTTACACCTTTCATAAAGAGTTTCTCCGCCTTTTCCCAATCACCTTGGGTTTCCTTGGCAACGAACTGTGCATATCCAGGAGGCAGTCTGGGATATTTTTCCTACAAACTAGCTGCAAACTGATCCAAGACATCCTGACCACCCATGGTCAATCTGAATTAGGTCTCAACTCAGTTGCAAAGTCCGACTCCTTATAAGGTTCAGGATCTGGATCCGACTGGGATTCGCTGTACTAGTAAGGAATTACCGCTTCAGCTTTTTCCAACCACTTATTCCAAAGTTCCAGCTCGGCAAGTTCAATGGTTGAAATCCGGTAAATATAACACAAAATCTTTGTGACCCTTGACTAAAAGCCTTTTGAATAACATCCAAAAGTCGCTTTACACCTAGCCAAGTCAAATATTCTTCTCGAATATCTGGATTGCCGTTATAGAGGTCCAACACAATCTGTTTAACCTCTTGTTCAGTATATCCTTTAATAGGCCACACTTGTTCGATGTCACTTAACACCAGAGACATCTCCTATTTTACCGACTTAGTAAAATAGTTAGAACACGTTCCAGTGTCGTAACCTTTTGAAGTACAGAATTAACCTTTTCAATCTGATTCCCGATCTAGGTTAATTCTTCATTTAGAGCAAATATACGATACACCGTATAGTTCACTCTCCTGTCTAAGTTTTCAAGCTTTTGGGTCAAAAGCTCTAACTTATCTATGACAGTATTTAATAAACCGATCTCCGGTTTTACCTCGAGTCCATGATCCAAATGAAAATAAGTCTTATTCTTACAGACTTCATCATCTGAACCATTATTCATGCTATCAAGAACTTTCAACAGGTTAACATATATTACACATATCCCCCGTCGTTCCAAAGCTCTGATACCATTTCACCCCACATAATATTTGTTATATCCAGTCTAACAAATATTATTACAATTAATAACTAGTAACAACAATCCTAGTTAATTAATTGTAATAATATTTGTTAGACTGGATATAACAAATATTTGTTAGACAAACGAATCTCACAAACTTTCTCTCACAAACCCGACATAGCACATGAGTTGACATTATCACGTCAACTGACGACTTTTATTAAACATGAATGACCATTTCTCCCTAAGAACAACTGTTCCTTCATAAGGAATGTCCATTCCTTATGAAGGAACCACTGTTCATCCCTAAGAACGGTCATTCCATTACAATGAATGATCGTTCCTTATGAAGGAATGACCATTCGCCCATAAGAAACGATCGTTTGTGTTTAGTTAAAGTTATTTAATATTTTGGATATGGTGAATTCAACTGTAACGTTAAGTTTGTGAACTTCGTTTGTCAACCTCTCATTATTCGTTAGAAAAACTTAAGTGGAATAGTTTTGTTAAATGAGATGATGAGATTATCCAATAAAAATATGTCATGTACTTATAAATTTTCGTTAACACAATAATCCAAACCATAGTTTATAAAAAATTACGGTAATAATCTTCGTCCTAGATGTATTGTACATTTAGGACGAAGATGTTTACATATAACTCAAAAGTAAATTTTTCAGGTAGCAACTAGCAAGAACAGTTTGTAAATAATTATTTTTACCAAATAAAAAATAAAATTAAAATGAAATGAAATGACTCCAAAGTCCAAACATAAGACAAAATCTGAGCAGCCATTTTACAGTACGACAACTACAAATCAAAACCCCTCTCTTTTCAACTTTCAAAACCTGCAAACAAACCCTTTTTCATTCTCACTCACAGCCGCCTCTACCATTTCTCTCTGCAACTTCTTCTTCCGATGGCCGCCACCACTTTCACTTCTCACCAAACTCAAACCCACTTCCTCTCCAAGCTTCCCACCTTCTCCAAACGCAAAACCAAACCCATCTTCACCAAAGTTCGCATGTCCCTCAACGACTCCGGTCCCTCCTTGGCCGTCGTCGGTGTTACCGGCGCCGTCGGCCAAGAGTTCCTCTCCGTCCTCTCCGACCGTGACTTCCCTTACCGCTCCATCAAAATGTTAGCTTCCAAGCGCTCTGCCGGAAAGCAGCTAACTTTCCAGGACCAAACGTATACAATTGAAGAACTGAAAGAAGAGAGCTTTGATGGTGTTGATATTGCGCTGTTTAGTGCTGGTGGGTTGATTAGTAAAGAATTTGGACCCATTGCGGTGAAGAAAGGAAGCATTGTGGTGGATAATAGTTCGGCTTTTAGAATGGATCAAAATGTGCCCCTAGTGATTCCTGAAGTTAACCCTGAAGCTGTGAGTGGTATTAAGGTTAAGAATGGGAAAGGTGCGTTGATTGCTAACCCCAATTGTTCTACTATCATTTGTTTGATGGCTGCTACACCTCTTCATCGCCATGCCAAGGTATTAATTTCAATAAGAGAAAAGGCTTGCTCGGGTTGAAAGTTTGGATCTTATTGTTTAATGAATGAGTTGCTTTATTGTTGTTGATTTCTTATATGTAAAATGTGTTGGTATACCTTTTATGGAAGGCCTAAATTTGATAGATTAAAAGGCTGAGTTCAAAGTTTGAATCTTTGTTGCTGAATAAATGAGTTGCTTGATTTTTTTTTTTTTTAAACAATGGTTTGATGGCTGCCACGCCTCTTCATTGCCATGCCAAGGTATTAACAAATTTGAAGAAGGACTTTTGGGTTGAAAATTTGAATCTTTGTTGAATAAATGTGTCGTTTAATTTGTATTATTTGAAATGTGTTGCTATTACCTTTTCATGGAAGGCATAAATTTGGATAGATCAAAGGCCTGATGGGTTGAAAGTTTAAATCTTTATTGCTGAATTAATGAGTTTCTTGGGTTGTTGTTTTGTTTAAAGCTATAGTTTTATGCCTGTAATGTTGCAGGTAAAACGAATGGTGGTTAGTACTTATCAAGCGGCTAGTGGTGCTGGTGCTGCAGCTATGGAAGAGCTTGAGTTGCAAACTCGTGAGGTTTTATAATCTAACCCGTCTCATAAGCTTGGATGTATAAGATTTTCTTGTGGTGTGCCTTACAATTTTTTTCATTTTTATCATTATTATTTTTTTCGGTGTAAGGTACCTTATAATTTATTTATTTATTTATTATTATTATTTTTTTGTGTAAGGTATTGGAAGGAAAGCCTCCAACTTGTAATATATTTAAACAACAGGTATGTAATACCCAAATAATCAGTGAGGACTAGTTGTAAATTGTTGTCTTCATCAAGTTTTGGAGGATAACATTTTGGAAACTTTTTATTTTTGCAGTATGCTTTTAATTTGTTCTCACACAATGCACCTGTTCTTGAAAATGGGTACAATGAAGAGGAAATGAAATTGGTAAAAGAGACCAGGAAAATCTGGGTAAGTTATCTAAGTTGGTCTTTGCTTCACGTTTTTTATCTAATCAAATTGATTGGGATTTGTTAAAATTTCTTCGTTGGATAGGGACTGAAGTGAATATCTGTTTTAGCCTTCATTAAAATGTTATTTCTATTTTTATGCTGTAGAATGACATGGATGTTAGAGTGACGGCCACATGCATACGAGTTCCTGTCATGCGTGCGCATGCCGAGAGTGTGAATCTTCAATTTGAGAAGCCCCTTGATGAGGTAATATCGTGAATTTTAAAGTGCAATTTTGCTTGAGTAAATTTTTTGGTCAAATTTTCTTACTAATAGTGACTGTCTATAAGACCTTTTTTCTTTTGCCTATATTTCCTATCTTTTTTATTTTCATTAGTAAGTTGGAGACATAATGGACACAACTTAAAGTAGATACTGTATCAGTGCTTGTTTGTTAGACTTCCTCATTCACTCTTGCAGGCATATAGAGCATATTCATGTGCATAACATTTAGCATCATTGGTTCTAATAGATCATCTTGTGAGGTTGGTGGGCGGGCCTTTGAGTTAAGAAATCATTCATATCTTTTGGTGGTGAACTTTTTAAAGGAAAATAAAGTTGCACATTACATTTTCGCCTCGTAACTTATTTTTGCTAATTCTATTAGGTTCTATATTTAACTCCGTTATTTATGAATGAGAAGTTGTAAGATATATGGTGTTTTTGAACAAAAAGGATGTGAAATGAATACAAGTATGGCTACATAGTGTAATTATAGACCAAACGTCTCAAAATTGACAGGATTTTCTTGTAGTAAGATAGCTAGATTTGAAGAGCTATTAATGTTTTAAGTGCAACAGAAGATACTTTTTCTTGAAATTTTTTTGATAAATATTTACTATGAGAAAATTTCTGTGGAGGCGGTCGCAAACAGTGTCTTGCCCTTATACATTCTTTAACTATAGATTTCATGTTCCTTTAGACGGTCTAACAGGCTCTGTTCCCTGTCTTTCTGTTTTGCTTTGGTCTTCTGTATCTAGTTTTCCGATTCGCGTATTACATTGAGTTGTCACCTGCCAAAAAGGATAGTTTTGACACCCCAATAAAAACTGATGCTCATAGAAAACGCTTTGTACAAAAATTCCATTTCAATGTAGTGTATTTTTCTATTGACCTGAATTCTGGTAACGTTCTCACTGAAACGGTTTTCAGCCTCCACATTCTTATCAGAAAGTTGACTCATTAATGAAAAAGAAGGTTGTTCCGTTAAAACAGAGCATAATTAAAATTAATATTTATTTTTAAGTAATGGCTTATTTTTTCTCTTATTGGTTTTCTGTTGCCAAATATCCTGATGGCATAAAATTGTGAACGTCTATCCTTGTGTAAAACCAAACATTAACAATTTGTTGCATGCAAAGAAGTCTTTAGTTCTCCATTTAATGTCCAAAGTTAGTCCCAATTAACGTGACCTGAACCTCATGATTTGGGGGGATAAATTTTGTTATCATCCCAGATTAACCCTCTAAAACAGGCTATTATGATTTGCAAGCAGTTCTTACTAGGTTCATTATGTGTGTCTCAATAAAAATACATAATCTGTGTAATTAAAGATAAAATTCTTTATCTTCTATTTTAACCAGTAAACATTCTTGACTTATTTAAGTTGTATTTCCAGGACACAGCTAAGGAAATTTTAAAGAATGCACCGGAGTAGTTGTTATTGATGAACGGGCATCCAATCACTTTCCTACGCCATTGGAGGTGTCAAACAAAGATGATGTTGCAGTTGGCAGGATTCGTCGTGATGTTTCTCAAGATGGGAATATTGGGTAATAGCTAGGGCCATGTCTTTCTTATTGAAGTACATTCAACTTTTAGTAGCAAACCAATAATGATGGAGAAATTTGAAACAGGTTGGATATCTTTGTCTGCGGTGATCAAATTCGCAAAGGAGCTGCACTTAATGCTGTTCAGATTGCTGAGTTGTTACTATAGTCGACCTTCAAGTTCTGAAGTTTCATCTAATAGATTGCTCGAGTGGTGAGATGAAATCATTATGAGCTATTATAATCTAGTTGGTAGATGCGGATGTTTTTGATGCAGTGAAACATGCAAGCGCAGGATATTTTTGCATATGCTGTGCTTATTATCTGTATTCAATCCTTCCATTTGGTGGAAATATTGTTAAAATAATCTTGTTAACTTGGGAGAGCCGTAGCTAGATGGAGGCGAAGTAATGTATTATTGCTTGTGTCAACCTTTCCTGTTAAGTGCCATATTGTATTCAACTATGTGCAGTTATGCAAGAACTAACATCACCTTGCTCATAAGGAATTACTGCGTTTACCCCTCTGGGGTTGATCTCCACTAGTGCTTATTAAAGGTGGAAAAGTAACCCGCCCGGCCCGGCCCGGCCCGGCGCGGCGGGTTACTTGTTTTGGCGGGCTGGGCTCAACCCGCCCGCCAACAAAGGCGGGCCGGTTAGGCCCGCCAATTAGGGAAATATGCTGGCCCAGCCCGGCCCGCCAGCCCTAACCGCGGGTTAGGCACGGTCCGGGCGGGTTAGCCCGATTTTAATTTTTTTTTGTTTTTTTAATTTATCTTTTCAAATATAATTATAAATATAATTATTTTTAGTTAACTTTTCAAATATCAATAATTCAATTCAATTCAATTTTTTTTTTTTGTTAACATTTCAAATATTAATTCAATTTTAATACAATAAAATTGTAATATAAGAAAAATTAGACTTATTCATTTATCAAAAAATAAAATAAGAAATTACAACAATTATTGCCTCGTTAAAAACTCACCAAGAAAAACCCAATGGGAGAAAAACTTAGTAAAGAAAAAAGAGTGCAATAATTGCAATTAATTTACAAATACATTTACAAACAACTAAATGGGTGGTCATCAGGACCCCACTCTGTATCATCTTATTACAAAATTGAAATGATTCTATATAGCATGTCGATAACCTCGTATGATCTTGATGGCGCGATCGTTCCCAATCTCGAAGACATGTGAATGCAATCATATTTTGGAGCAAGTTTAGGCCTCCTTCATTTAAAATCCCCACTGACTAAATGTTTGTTCGGATGAGACGGTTGAGACAGGAACAGCGAAAACATCCAAGGCAAGTCTTGATAATACCGGAAAAATACATTTTCGGCTCTCCATACTCTAAAGAGTCAAAGTGACCTGTTGAAAACATTTGGGGGTTGCCAATATTGTTGAAGTCATTACTCTGCGACTCCATGGAGGACAGCCTATTAGTTGTGTTGTTGTGGTGGGTGGTGCGTCTGAAGAGGAGGCTGTGCTTCGGACTCGGGTCCTCTTGGCCTATTCAGTGCATTCCAAGGAGATAAGTCTTCATTTGTTTCTTCTGCTACAGCATCTCTGGATATTGCTCTTTGCGACTGCGGGTTCCCATACCTGTTTTATATTGGAAATATACTTCGAAGAGACTATTTTTTACCTCCTATTTGATTGATATATGATTCGTTTTGTAAATTTTCACAAATTGTCAAGACCATTTTCTAAACGTGCTAATTTAATTCTAGGATCAAATATAGCACCTAAACAATAAAGAAAGGAACGGGTCTCCAATATTTCAAAAATTTTTTTTCCATTGCCTTTATTGGTGCATGTAAAATTTCATCATCTTTGTTTTTTGTAAATAACTCGGAAATTTTTATAATTGCATGTATACCAATGGACTAGTAGGGTAATACACACGAAAGTAAAGTGTGGCTTGGTAAAAACATTTGAGAAAAGAATGAAATACTTTAGCTATCTTCCAATCATTTTTTACCAAAGATGAGGACCTCATTATTTGCTACAAAATAACTAATTATATTAGCATAAGGTAAACATGAATCAAGCATTAAATAAGTACTATTCCATCTAACAGGCATATCTAATGCAAAAGTTCTAGGAGACATATTGATTTTATACAAGCTCTTGAAATCAGCATTTCTTTATTACTACTAGTAATCCAAGCTAAAGATTCCCTAATTCTATCAATATTTTTTTAATTGTTTTCATACCACTTTTCACATTAATTAATAACATGACATGCAACGTTGGTGAAAAAACTCAAATTATATAAAAGATAATTATTTTGAAAAATTCTTAGCTTTACTATTAGAACTTGCATTATCTAAAGTTAAACTTATCACTTTATCAATAATATCATAATCTTCTAAAAATAATATTTTATTATAGATTTCTAAACCACTATGATCACATCCATTAATCTAAATCCTATAAGATTATTTAATTTAAATTCATTATCAAAATAATGACTAGTCACACAATATAATCTTGTTAGCTCTACCACTCCAATATCAGCAGTTAAAGCCACACTAATATGACAGTATGAAATTATTTTTTAATTCATATTTCATTTTTTTAAACAATTTATTTTAAATCATTTCTAGTTGCAGTTTTAGAATAACTTTTAAATCCTGGAAAATGATTTGACAAATCTTTCAAAATATTTATCTTCTGCCATATTAATAGGTGATCTAGATGCAGCAATATATAAAGCAACTGTTCCCTATATACTCAGAATTATAACGCCAAGTAGTACCCATATTAGTTATTTGAGTTGATTGGTTTTCTTTCCATGTTGTAATATGTTTATTAGCATGCCTTTTTAAAGTAAGTACCATTACCTGAATCAGCTATAAACATTTGCACAATATTTGCATCTTGCTTTCTTGACTTGAACGCCATTTCTGTTCATAAAACTTGTCGAAATGCGCCCAAACGTCTGATGTGTGTCTGTTTTCGCTTTCGACGGCAGTTGATGATCCCGCCTCAGCTTGGATGAAGTTGGACGAGGACGACGATTACGAGGACGACTTCTAGAAAACCGGGCGCTGTTGGAATCGACGCCATATTTTGAGGTGTATCGGATTCTGAGACTGGGATGGGACAGGGGACTATTTGAATCCCTGCATTCATAGTAAAATCAGCGGGACTAGGACTAGGATAATAGTTTTCTTCTCATTGAAATTGATGGGAGAGAATATCTCTCATTGTAGACTTGTAGTTGAAAAAAAAATGATGTTGAAGAAATAAAAATTAAAGAAAGAGATTTGGAATATGGAAATTGGAAATATGAATTGAAATTGCAAAACCTAATAAAAATTAAATAAGAGCAAATTGATAACAAAAATTAGAGAAATAAATGAATAATTGAGACTTGAGAGTTGAAGAGATAGAGAATATGAGAAAATGAGAGAATTTGAGTTGTGAGAAAAATATGAGAGTTTAGGTCCAATTTATAGAAAAAATAGGGAAAAAAAATGACGAAAAAGACCCCTCCAAAGCGCTATAAAACGGCTAGATTTCAAGGGTAAAAGTGTAATTGAAAAAAATAAAAAATATATATAATTTTGTTTTTTTTTTTTGGGCCAACCCGGGGTTGGGCGTTGCCAACCCGCGGGTGGCCGTTGGCAACAGCCAACCCGCGGGTTGGCCGTTGGCAACAGCCAACCCGCCAGCAACCCGCCGGGTTGCGGGCCTCTTTGAAAGAGGCCAAAATAGCAACCCGGCGGGCCGCGGGTTACCTTAGTGTAACCCGGCCCGCCCGGGGGTGGCTGGCGGGTTGGGCTCAACCCGGCCCGCCATGAAGGCGGGCCGGTTTGAGCCCTCTTTTTGGCGGGCCGGGTTAGGGTTGGCCCGCCTAACCCGGCCCATATGTTCCACCTCTAGTGCTTATAATGTATTAGTGGGATATATTCCTGTGATTTTTAACGGCCGATAAGGATAAATAGACAGTCTGGGGCGGAATCTAGGCTTTTAAAACTGGGATAATATCAAAATGAGGGGTGTTTTTGTTCTTAAACAGAGAAATCCCAATTACCTGGTTATGTAAACGTTTGCTAAATCCATGTGGGATAGCTTAGGTATTTTAAAACACTTGATCTAAACATTTGATTAAAACCCCAGGGTGGAGAAAGTGTCTCTCTCTGCTAGACCTGGTAAAACAAGCAGGCCAGGTAGGTACAAGTACATAGAAAACCTCAAGCCCGGTCGAGTTCGAGTTTGCTGTTGTAGCAGTCGAGTTTGAGCTTGCTGTTGTAGTAGTTGCGTCGAGCTCGTTGTTGTAGCAATCAAGTTGAGTTCGTCGAGCTCGTTGTTGTAGCAATCAAGTTGAGTTCGTCGAGCTCGTTGTTGTAGCAATCAAGTTGAGTTTGAGTAGCTAAATACTCAACTCGGCTTGATTACACTGTTAGTTTGTTAAATTCATGTTGGGTAAATTTAGACCTGACAAACGGCGGGCTGGACAGGTAGGGCAATTTATTTATTTATTATTATTATTTTTTTTACGGGTAGGAAAATACATCACCTGTACCTGCCCGTACGGATACAGGTCATTGTGCTTTCGTATGCACATTTAATCAGTTTTATTTCAAAAAGTATTCTATAAACAATAAAAATTTAAAAATAAGTCTGATAGTGTGATCAAACCACCGTTGGCACCAAAATGATTAGATGGATTTGATTTATCCAGGAAACAATAAACTGTACATTGTAAAATATCATGAAACGTTTTAGGAAGCATGGAGAGATAAAAAAAACCTCTGTACGCTATAAATATCCATTAATGATGATGTATAAAACAAGTCCAATCAAATTATGTAACATTATCATTACCTGTATTCTTCTCTAATCAAGAACTCTTGATATTTTAAAAGTAGGAGAGGGATGTTTAAACAACATTAAGAAAAGTTCAAAAAATAAAAAAAAAATGAAGCACCTGCTGGGCGTCGGCGCTGCTGGTCGTGAGGGAGAAATGGTTTGCAGTTATGGCTGCGTGAGAGAACTCTGGCCACCTTCTTGTTAGCTGAGTGAGAGACTTGTCTAAGGCCCAAGTAGTGCTGGCTGCGTGAGAGATAAATGGTTTAGGAAAAATGGTTCAGTGATGGCTGCGTGAGAGAGAAATGGGTGAAATGGTTCGGTGATGATGAGTGATCTGATGGCTGCGTGACAGAGAAATGGCTGCGTAAGGAAATTAGGAGAGCCGCTGGGCGGGTTGAGTGATGGCTGCGTGAGAGAGAAATGGTTTTAGGGTTTTTACTTTTTTTTTTTTTTTTTTAAGTAAAATGCGGATACTGTTGGCATTATCCGGCTCACCTGCATTTTTTACAGGCGAATCGGATACGGATAAATTTAAGATGTATCCGTATTTGTCCGTTTGATATGAGTACCCGTTGATACCTTTTTGCCAAGTCTAGGTAAAATTAAGTATTTTAAAACACTTGATCTAGACAT